TTAAACTTTATTGACACGCTGACCAATCAAGGCCACGCAGCAGGCACTGCTCTGCCAGGATGCAATTAAACTTTATTGATAAGAATCAAATGTGAATGTTGCAGGGAAGAACCCCAGGCTCATTGCCCGCAAACGTCATCAAGGGCTTTCCTGCAGCATTATGGGAGCTAATGCTCTGTAGCATTAAGGCTGCAGGAAGTAGGCTCAAGGATATTTATACATTTGGCCAGATTTCAAACCCATTTATAACAAATTATTCTAGTGAATTTTTAAAGATATTTCGATAGCAAAGGAGAAACTAAAGTTGGTACCAGTCCTCTAGAGACAGAAGGACTGAAAGAACTGCAGATGCTGCAAGTCAGGAGCAAAAACAGAAGTTGCTGGAAAAGTGCAGCAGGTCTGGCAGCGTCTGTGAAGAATAAAAAAAAAATCAGAGTTAACGTTTTGGATCCAGTGACCTTAAGAACCCAGTTCTATGGTAAACACAGAATCAAATGCTGCATCTTAACTTCTTAAAAGAAGAGATGGCACAAAGATATCTTTGCTATAATCTTCCAAAATTGTTTTGATGCTGGAAGGATCCCAGTGCATTGAAAAGTAGCAAGTTTTGCACTTTTTGTTTGGTAAAATAAAGGAGGCCAAAAGCAAGAAACCAAGGGCCAGTTCGCCCAAAGTCTGTCTTTGAAATGCACAGGGGGGGATTACAGCACAATTCTTAAATCATGATGCAAACACCAACATTCATCATAGCTTTGGAAAAGAGAAAGCATGCTAAATTAATGTAGTTTTATTGACCAAGCAACATTCATAGTGGATGTAAGGGAACCAGTAGGTGTGTTGTACTTCGATTTCCAAAAGATATTTCATGAAGATGCCATGTAAAATGTTGCTGGACAACATGAGAGCACATGGTGAAGAAGTTTGCTAAAGGATTGGCTATCTAACAAGAAGCAGACTGTCAATAAATGGATCATTTTCATGTTGACAAGCTGTAACCATTAGAGTGCCACAGCGATCAGTGCTGGCTCTTTGACTATTTGTAATTGTTTTCAAGCTGAAGGAGAGTCTGCAAAGGGATAGAAATAGGTTAAGTGAGTAGGCAAAATCTAGGTAGGAGTATAATGTTGGCAACTGTGCACTTGTCCATTTTGGCACAAAGAATAGAAAAGCAGTTTACTATTTAGATGGAGAGAGATTGCAGGACTTTGTAGTACAGAGGGATCTGGATGTCCTGGGACATGAATCACAAAAGGTTCGGTGTGCAAATAGAGCAAGTGTTTCGGAAGGCAAATGGAATGTTGTTATTTATTGTATGGGACAATGGAACATAAAGTAGGTAAGTCTTACTGCAGTTTTACAGGACGCTAGCACAACCACATCTTCAGTACCATGTAGTTTTGGTCTCATTTGAAAAAATACATAATTTCTCTGGAAGTAAGCGGAAAAGGTTCAGTTAACTTCAGATTCCAGGGATAAAAAGTTTATTTTGTGAAGAAAGGCTGAACAGTTTAGGCCTCTTTTCATTAGAGTTTAGAAGATCCTGAGATGAGTGGATACCTGGAGGACGTTAACTCCTGTAGGGAAGCTAAAACTTAGTGACAGAGTGTAAGAAAAAGAAGTCTCCCTTTCAAGACAGATAAGGAGAATGTTTCTTCTCTCACACTGTGGAATGTATTTCTTTATAAAGTAGTAGAGATTGGATCCGTAAATGTATTCAAGAACCAATTGGGATCTATTTTAATCAAAATTCTAAGTTTCTGGGGTGCAGAGAGCAAAGTGGAGTCAAGGTACAACCAGATAAGCCATGATCTTATAGAATGGTGCTATAGACTTGAAGGGCAACCTGCACTATTCCTGCTCAAGTCGTATGTTCCTAGGTACTGACCTTAACCACATAGTAAGGTTTGTCCTCTTGCAGTAACAACTATAAAGCCTAAAATTCCTTTCCACAGACAATAAGAGGTTCAAAGCAATTCCTGCTCCTCTGATGCTACTTGGCCTGTTGTTCATCCAGCTCGACACCTTGTTATCTCTTGTTTTGGAACAGGTTTGTTTCCCAATGACTGCCTTGAAGGGTGGTAGCCAGAAGACAGAAAAGCTACAAAAGTTTCATCAAAGCCATCTTTTGCTTTAAACTCAAGTATGAAGCGCAGAATGTACAAGATCCATGTGTTATCCTGAATGCGCACACAACATGGGGCTGCATGTTGCCACACTTGATGGAATCAGGAACAATTAATGATGAAGTGAAAACTATGAAAGTACAAGAGAGATACAAAACCATGGTTACAAAAAAAGTAGGCAGAAAGTAAAATCTAGAGTTTAAATTCTGTGGTTTGCAGCATTGTTCAAAATTTGTTCATTCCAAAGATGACTCTTGGCGTTCGCAGGTCACAGATTCCAGCACAGTAACAAACCAGTTGGTTCAACTGGCTTGTACTTAAGTTTAGCCTCCACACGAGAGTCTCCTCAATCCATTTTCATCTAACCCCATAAAGCAAATGGTAGCTGCTCAGCAATTTCTATTTAGCATGGACTACAATCTCAGAAATACCTACATTCAGGATAGATTATATGAAAAGCTTGCTTTTCTGTAAATTTTCCACTATTCATAACATTTGTTTCAAACTTTCTAGTATGTATTAATGCAGTCTTATTTTAAAACAGACTGAGAAAAAGATAGCTTTCCTGTCCAAACCATCTAGTCAACTGGTCCCCCTCCCCACATCCAGTTATTGTACGGAGTTCATTATTCTGACCTCAAGCTCTTTCCTCACCCTCCACTGCACTTGTTTGTCCTGTTAGCCACCTTTCAGATTTTTTTAAAAAATCAACACGTTATGACATGTTGTGACACATCTGGGGCAGGAAGGACTGGAACCCAGAGGTAGGTACACTACCACAAGGGCCTGTTGGATGACCAGAGATTCACGGGATGTGGTAATAAAGCAGATGGCCATTTGGCCCATCATACCACTGCAGGCTCTGTGAAAGAAATCCAGTTGGTCTCATTCCCCCTGTCCTTTCCCTATAAACATAACTTTCTCCGCTGGTATTTAACTTGATGCCCTTGGCAAAAACGTCCTTCCATCACTGTTCGAAGCAATGCCTTCAAGATCATCACAACTCATTCTGCCTTATCTCTCCATTAAAGTACACATCAAGTCCATGGAAGTGAATGACATGAAGGGAAAAAACATTTATTAAATATATGGTTTCAAAATCAGCTGAAATAGTGGGGAAAGCAGAACAGTGTTGTATTAAGGAAAAAATACAGAAGATAGAGACACATTCATTTATAGTATAACAGAACATGCGTGTCCAGCATCTTACTGACACAAGGATAAAGATAGGATAAACCTGTACCCTTTTAACCAACCACAACAATGCAAATTATCCCGTACAATATTATACTGCAAATGAATAGACAATTAAATTTAAACATGCAGGCCCTATTTATGAGGATGAGCCTTTTTAAATTAGACGTTTAATAGTTTATGTTCCAAAGAACACACATATACAACTGAGAGTGACTACACAATATATAATCTGCTAAATGGATGATAGTTACCAGTTAAGGTTAATTATATTGAGCTCCATTCTAGCACACCAACAGTTCATGGAGGACAGTAACTTTCCACAGCACAGTGCCTGCGACTCCAGTGCAGACAAGGGTGTATGGTCAAGATCAGTAAGCAGTCCATCTCCACACTGCAAATGTCCACCTGTCACTTAAAAACCAGAGGAATGGGCTCCTAATCTGCACAGTTCAATCTGGATCTGTTGTACACTCAGACAACTGAGGTGTAGTTTAAAGTGTGCAGTCAAAACCTTTGTTCTTGTTAAAAATTAATTTGTACCAACTGTCATGGCCGCTCAGCCTTTTCCTTCAAAGACACAGTGCCCAAGCCGGCATTTTAAAACGTTTCTCTTGTTGCATTCAGCCTTTCGCTCAGAGGGAAAGGGGTAACCAGCAAATAAGTAGAAGGCAGTTTCATGGACAGAGCCTCCAGGAGGCTTCCCAATGTTTGTACACCTGTGTTTTATTCAGCGTATTACCATTCGAGAAAATAACCTAGAGATTTGAACAGGCAGTGGCTACCTCTAAACGATCCCACCGGCTCTCTAAGTGAATTCCAGTCAGCAGCCCAGTGGTAAACTAATTGAAGCAGGTAACCCTCACTAGTCTAGACAAGAATGTGACTTGTTTTACCAGGACAATGGGTAACAGTTTACAGACAGCAGCACTCAGCAAATAGCATTTTGAAAAAAAAAAGAGAAGACTAGAGTGGAATACTGGGACCAGTTCCCAGGCACCAGTGGATTCACGGAACGGCTGGTGTACCCGCATCTGGACACAAGCTACGATTCAGTCAGAGGTGACACCTACCCAGGGAGGGAGGTTCAAGATCCTTTGCTCAGTCACACACAAGTCCCTCCTTCTGCCTGGCACTCTCAAGCTTGTTATCAATAAGCTAACTCTTCAGTTATCGGGTACTTCCCTTTCTGCTTAGTTTGGCATCAGGCACATAAAGGTAGGGAAGTCCACTTGTGAGCACCCTGTGACTGGACAGTGGGAGAGGACAGAAATACAAAGTCATGCTCTGTTCTCCAACAATGAAGTTATTGTGTAGATGCCATTTGAGAACCATTGTGATATACCCACTTCCCCCAACATTGGAATTTAATCACTTACTGAAACTTGGGTGAGAAGGGGAGAGGAAGGGGGATGTAACCAGTGTTGCACCCAATGTCCAATTTTACTTTCCACCGAAACCACCCCTGGGAGGAAAAGGGCTTGTGTTCATATAGCACCATTCATGGACTCAGAACACACCAAAGCAGTTTACAGCCAAACAAGGTTTCTTGAAGTTTAATCACAGCATTAGTGTAGGAAAGGTAGCAGCCAATGTGCAAACAGCGAGCTCCCACAAACAGCAGAGAGACAAATGATCAGATAATCTGTTGTTGTGATGCATACCAGCCAGGACACTGGAGAGAACTCCCCTGCTCTTGTCTGAAGGACTTTTGTGGGATTGTTTCATGTGCATCTGAAAGTAAAGACAGACTCTCCATCTGATGTCTCCTGGGAAAGAGTCCCTGGATCTGCAGGAGGTGACAGAGTTTTGTGGTGAGGGTCAGATGATGAGACCCACAGAAATACATTTCAATATCTTCAAGAGGAAGGGGAAGGACAGACTTTGTGCATGTGTGCACGAGCGAGCGCGCGTAGGGGCATGGAGGGGGTGGAGAGACAGCCAGTCACAGAAAGTTACCCCATCGGTTGATCAATAATAAGGCTCCAAAGAGCTAAGAAAATTAAATATGATGGAAACATCCAAAAACCTTCATTGTTTATGTTACATATCTAACAGTTCACATGGTCCAAGGCTCAAGATTAAAACAAGAGTGCAGCGTCACTTTTGATTTAAAATGTGAGGGGTGGAGAAAAGAAAAAAGAAATCCCAGGAAACACCTGCCTGCACTCTCACAAAACTCCCCACGGTTAGCATCAACCCCAGACATGGCAGTGTAACCACGGACATCCAACTTAAATGATTATCAGTAGTGTTCTCTTCTTCAGTCTCTCAAACACAACCATTTGCACCAAGGCAGCACAGAGTGGAATTAGAGATTTCTGGTCAGTAGGCAAGTCCATGTGAGATTTTCACAAAGATCAGAACTTTAAGAAAGCCAGTAATGTGTTTGAAGTGTTAATCCAGCCAGTAATAGCGTACACTCCCAATTTCTTTCTTCACTTCCCTCCGAAGATTGACTGGCAACGTGCACCTCCCAGTGTGAGGGTGACCGTCACCCCCCACCTCCCCCAGAGAGACGTTAGTCAAACGAGATGAGCTGTGCCTCTGAGCCGGCCTGCTGCTGTTGCTGTTGTGGTGCTGCTCCTCCAGGGGGTGCCATCTGCAAGTTAAGGAAACAGAAGAGTTAAAAATGCTGTCAGAGGCTGGTTGACAGCCCCTCCCCATTCCGTGCTTCAGGCCTCTGGCTTGGCCCCTGGCCATCATGGCAGGAGCTGCAGAAAACCAGATTCTGTTTTGATAAGTCAAAGCGTTTTCTCATGCCCTTTACCGCTTTTGGGTTCTCAGTGCAGATGTAGTTTTTCAGACTGAACACCTACTTCGCACCAAACCGCAAGGCGGCAGCTCAGTGGGTGTTACTCTGGCATAAGGGAATTCAGAATATAATCCAGGTTGATTCTCCAGCGCAGTTTTGAGGGACTGCTGCAGGTGTCGGCATTCAGATATGAAGTTAAACCAAGGCCCGTCTGCTATCTCAGGTAAATGCAGAAGATCCCATGGGACTAATCAAAAGATGAGCAGCGACCAGACTGATACTTATCCCTCAACCAGCATCACCAAAACAGACAGAGATCATTATCTTGTTGCTGCTTGTTATTCACAAACACCTCCTCCTCCCTCCCCAAAACCAGTTACCAGTGAGTTGTGCTCTGTTTCCTCTCAGTTTACTTCAGCACCTCAGAAAGACACCAGTTAGCATGCTACACAACAGCAATATCAGAACTTGGTGCATTAGTATAAGGGTTACATTCACCGTTTATCAAAGCAGACAACTCGAATTCTGAAACTAGTAACATTCACAAAATGCTGGATTCCAATCACGACCCAACTCTCCTCTGAAGACAAAGCAGTTTGTAAATCCAGCGACTGAACTGCTCAAGCCTGGATCCCTAAACATAACTAGTTCGCTGCTTACCTGCTGATACATGGGCTGCTGTGCTGGAAGGTAAGACTGCTGTGGAGGTAAGTTGCTCATGGCAGGATCCTGAGCTGGGAGAGTAGACATCATGTTCTGTTTGGAGCAACAGAGTGAATATTTACCACACAAAACGAAGCAGAGATGGAATAAAGTATCAAGCCACACATTCACAATAAATGCGGGTCCCTGTTTATAGGGTGAATCAAAGAGCTAAACTGTCACTTCTTTTCTGGCTTAACAAGAACTTGTGATTATCCGTGTTTATTAACCCAGTTAAACCACACAACAGAACAATACATTTTGAAATGTAAAAACCAACAGATACTTTACAAAACCTTAACTTCAGAAAACCTATTCATTTTATGTGCTTTAGTCAACATTTCTCATCCTATCTGAAGGATTGTGAACTCTTTCACTGAAGATTTCTCTAACCTCAGAACTGTTGATCAATCAGAAATCAAACATTAGACATTCTCACAGCGCAGTGATTAGTAAGATAAGCAGCAGTACAGCTTACCTGCATGTTATATGTCTGGTAACCCATTGGGACAGACTGGGATCCCATGTATCCCAATCCTCCTGACTGCGGAGCTTGGGGAATTGTTCCGCTCGGTGCCTGGGAAACCACATTCTGCAACAGAAATTCAGAGTGAGCGGCCACAAAATGGGGGACAGCTCGTATGCATGAACATGCATGCATTCCCATCCACACAAAGCCAGGACAATCCTAGTCTACATATACACACACACACACACGCAGAGAGCCCGAACAGACCCCCTGACACACACATACAGAGCCAAAATAATTGGTTAATCGAACACAAAGAATGAACTTTTTACTCCTCTGCTCTCCAGTCAGACACTGAGCCTTCACTGAGGTAAAGCTCCTGTCACCAGCAACACAGCTGCTGAGCACGGCATACACACACCAAACATGAGTGTGCGGCCTGTCTGTTAGGCCTGTGTAGGTCATGTCAGGTGAATATTTGTTGGTTATTTGACTGTTGGGGGAGAAGACATCCATGCAAGTTTAACCCTTGCTTTCCAGCAGAGGTGACTGGACAGTGTTCAAGGGTGTGGTACGTCATCTAAGTATGATTGCTGAAGACTAGTAAGGCCAAAACCGCTGTCAGTGCAGAATTAACAACCACATCGACCCAATTCAAACATCCTGAAGAATGAAATTCACATCAAGTCCAACAAAAAGGTCACCCTCCCCACATACACAAACCACCAGTGTATTCTTCACACCTGACTGCACATTGTTCCACAGCTCAGCATTTGCTTGCCATGATAACGAGGACAAGCTACTCTCCAACATCCAATGCTGTTCAAAATCGCAGCATGCTCTGGAGCTCAACACAATGTCAAACACTGGCAAAACAGAACTAAACTCAGCTTGTGAACACCCTATGTTAATTATGCATATTCCATATGTGCCTCATAACAAGTGCAGGGGACAACAAATCGTCTTATCATTAACCTAAACAACCTTAACCTTTCTAACTGTCTTCAGAAAATGTCACTGAAACAGACAATACGAGGTGACTCAACAGAAATCTCAAAGCATGAGGGTTATGGGGAAAAGGCTGAAAAGTGGAGTTGAGGGTCATCAGATCAGCCATCATCACGCTGACTGGTAGAACAAACTTAAATGGGCTGAATGGCTGACTTCTGCTCTCACATCTCATGGTCTGACTCTCATTGCTTCCATCCTCAGGGATCAACCAGAGAACAGCTTCTGTGGTCCACGCTTACCCTGCCCACACAGCTCTCACGAGAGATGAATGCCTGATGTTCAGGCATCACCAGTTTTTTGGACAGCTGCTCTTGAGACACTGTGCCAATACTTCAATCCAACACCAAAAAGAGCTCATTCTCTAACACACCACACACACCCCGTTAATTAAGACAAGAGACTTGCCTGGTAGTTCTGCGTAGGGGTTGGTTGGTAGTTTGAATATCCAGCATTTGTCGTGGGCACTCCCTGGCCTTGCTGAGTGGTCTGGCTGGTTGGGGCTGCTGCCTGGTACATATAAGGATTCACCATACTGGGATCTGAAGTGCACAGGAAATATATGAATGCACACACAATACAGAAACAGATAAAGCATTAACACACATTATCCTACAGAACAAAGAACCTACTGGAGCGTGAAGTGACTGAACGTGGAATAACTGAATAGCTTGACCCGTTCTCAGACGGATCAGACTGTTACAACTACTTAACCATAGGAGGTAACCTACATTAAGAATGTCTTGTGGTACAGCGGTAATGTCACTACCTCTGGTCTGGAGGTTCGGGACCCACCTGCCCCCGAGGTCTGTTATAATTATGTCCAAATAGATTGATTAAAATAACTAACTGAAGTTGTTTCTGGCTTGGCAATACCTCAATTTTAAAATTCTTTTCCTGATTTTCAAGTCCTTTCTTGGCCTCATCCCTCCCCGACTTTGTAACCTCCATATGCCCTACAACCCTCCAAGACATCAGTGTTCTTTCAACACTGCTCTCTTGCGCATCTCAAACCCCTCCAACTTCTCTCTTTGTGACACTCCCTAAAACTACATTTGAATAAGTTTTGTCCCACTTGTCCCTACTATCTCAATGTGACCTGACACCAATTTTCTGTTTTATAAAGGTCTGATCTGTGTGTTGGAATGTTTCATTGAAAGTATACAAATGCAATGTGGTGCTGTATGATAGCTCAGTGGTTATGGTACATAGCTACTAAAGTTGTGAAACTCAGTTCTTACCATGGCACCAAAGAAACAGTTGCTGTACCCTGTCGGATCTACATGCATTCAGACTCCAATCATTTCCACTAGCTTGAGATGGCCTAGCAAACTACTTGGTTACAAATTGCAGCAGCAGATGGTTTTTAAGGCACTTCATACCTTCTCAAGTACTTTGTAACAGGCAATAACTACAGAGGGTTGTGAACACAGCCCAGAACATCAGCTAAGCCATTAACTCCACCCACACTTCTCACTGCCCCGTAAAGGCAGCCAATATCAAAGACCTCTGCCCCCACCTCCGGTTATAATCTCTTCCATCGGGCACAGGATACAAAAGCTTAAACACATGTGTCAACAGATTCAAGAACAGCTTCTTCCCCGCTGTTATCAGATTTCTGAAAGGACCTCTCAAATTTTAAATTTAAATGTTGATCTCACTCTTTGTGCGCCTTCTCTGCATACATAATAGTGTATTCCTTGCTCTGTTCTATTACCCTAATGCACTTTGTATGGTATGATCTTCCTGTACTACACACAAAACAAAACCTTTCACTGTAGCTGTGTACATGTGACAATAATAAATTAAATCAAATCAGAATACTGTGGGACACAAATTGGGAAGAGGTGATCATTGTATCTGCTCAGTCATTCATCAAGATCATGATGGATCTGATTTTGGCCTCAATTCCACATTCACACCTAGCCCTGATAATTGGTGACTCCCTTGTTGGTCAGGGTTCTAGCTGCCTTTGCCTTAAAATTATTCAGTTGCCCCACTTTCACCACTCTTTGGATAAAACAGTTCCAAAGACTCAGCCCTCTGAAAGAAAACGTTCCTCCTAATGTCGGTTTTAAATAGGAAACCCCCAATTGTCAAACTGTGTCCCCTAGTTCTAGGCTCTCCTACAAGGGGAAACTTCCTTCCAACATCCAATTGAAAGTAAAGTAATGATCTTTTCTATGGGTGAACCCAATTTACATTGTTACACTAGTGCTCAGCATTGGAAACATCAGCAGTCACTGTTGCATGGAGATCACAGATTATATTTCCCAAAAGGAATTTGTTAATGTTAGGCTCTGGAACACCAGTAAAGACAAATATTTCAGAGGTAGCACATCAGTTTGAGAGATATTGGTATCACTGATTTTCAGAATATAGAAGGCCATTCAGCCCTTAAAGCCTGCTATACCATTAATTAAGATCATGGTGGATCTGGCTGTGGTCTCAGCTCCACCTTCTGTAAAAACGGACTCATGATCTCAACCCTCCTGACCCACAAAATTCCTGCAACAGTGAGTTCAAGAATGAGATAGTGGGATGTAAAACAAGCACCCGGGGTTTGATTAGTGTTTGACGTAAAGCAGCAGTGTCCAGAGTGCTTTATTTGGCCATTCAGCAGTTGCACCTCACCTGCTCCAGAGACTGGTATTGAGGAATATGGTCCAGTGCCTGGCTGTGCTGTCTGATTCATGTAGACAGAATGCATAGGAGATCCTTCCACTGAGCCTGCTGGGCTGAAAGTGCCAGGGAAACTGGTTGGACCTGTCGGCTGATACATAACGCCACTTGCAGGGGGCATGGACTGGAGCTAGGCAGAAGAAAAATTTAGGATTAAACAGGAGTAGATTGTCAAGTTTAATTACCTAAACATCTCACTCTACTAAGTGCCACACAATGAGTCAGATGGATAATTAGTCAGCACATCAACCATGTGGAAGTTTCACGATGCACTGTCACTGTGACAAATCCTCAGAATATAGCACCTGGCATAAAAGGAGAACTCTCACAACGGAAAACAAATGGAACAAGTTTTCCATCCAAAAGCAATTAATAAATCTACAAACAGAGATCAACACAAAGACACAAGGGAGTTACAAAATCAGTTGTCAAACTAACAAACTTTAAGCAGTTGAAACAGCACCTGAACCCAGAGATTAAACTAAAACCCTGTTGTGCTCATGTATTTATTATTTATAGATGTTGCTCCCTATTATACAGAGGGACAATCGCATGATAAGATGAGAAGAAAGGCAAGCTGCAAACAACAGGGCACCAGGTTACGTGCATCAGTGATAACCTCTTTCTTACAAACATTCTCCGATCCTCCTTCTAAACACAAAACAAATCTTTTACATGTCATCAAAATGATACTTCAGAATTGTAAAAACAGTGTCAAAAACAACAAAATCACTCCACTTCAACTAAGTATTCAAAGCTACAACATAATCAACATTGAGTCAAATTTATTAGTTCGGTTGAGCTCTGCTTTCACTTATAGGATACTCCCTCTCTCCCAATCGAGTTACAGGCACACTCTCCTGACCTGGACGCTTACTCGTATATTGAGATCTAACCTGTGCATAGGGCAGTGGGAAAGCTGGCATCTGCGCTCGCATCTGAATGGTTTGCTTCTGCTGCTCCAGGCGCATTTGCCGCTCCTTCTCCTGTTCCTGCAGCCTTTGAATGGCCAACTGTCGCTGCATTTCCAGATACTCCTAAGACACAGCAAAACAAATGGTTCAGAACTCATTTCAAGACTGACACCACTTTAAAGGTAATCACGGGGAAACGCAAACCCCTACCAGAAGGGGCATGGAGAGAAGCAGAATAAAAGGAAGGATTCAAGTTGAGCAGAAGTGTCAGATTAATTGAAGTCTCAAGCATGGCTTTGCTGCACTTTGTACAATGCATTACATATCACACAATGGATCAAATGGCCAAGTGTGCGGTGTGCGTGTGCATGTGCATGCAAGGATGCAAATATGTCAGAATTAGATGTTTATGTGAAGGTAACTGCCACTATCTCCAGAACTAGCTTCCTCGATTTCCCATGTCACCCAAGAGAATTTCAGTGGGGAAGTAGAGAAAGGTAAATCCTAAGCGTGCATGGGCTCTTTAGGAATGAGATGTTAAACTGACTCCCATAGACACGAGGAGCCTACCCTGACACTGTTGGAAGGAGGTCTATTGACCCCAATGTCTTGGCCAATACTCAACACTTAACCAGCATCACAAAATGGAATTACTTTGTCAGTTATCTCATTGCTGTTTATGGGGGTTTGCTGTGAAATTGGCCTTTATCATTTCATGGAATTTGGCTGTCACTGGTATTTGTCGTTCATCCCCAGTTGTCCCTGAACTGAATGGTTTGTTAGGCCACTTCATAGGGCAGTTAAGAGTCAATCGTACTGCTATGGATCTGGTATCACACATAGGCCACATGAGGCAAGGACAACAGACTTTACTCCTAAGAACGGTAGTGAGCCAGATGAGTTTTTTTTTTAAAAAAACAACAATTGATGATAATTCTCATGTTCATCATTACCAAGTCTAACAATCAGTTTCAAATTGAATTCCACTGGCTGCGACGCTGAGATCTGAATCCATGTTCCTACGTGGATTTACCTAGGCATCTGGATCGTCAGGTCAGTGACTTTACCACTAGTACTTCTCCTTTTAACATAGTTTTCTATGTTACAATGATGACAATGCTTCAAAAGCTCTTAAGTGGCTGTGAAGTTCTCTGTGACACAAGGTCATATACCCCAGACCATAAGGCTGCTCTCTCATCCAGAGAGAGGGCATGTTGGTGGTTTAACCTGAGGGTCACCATGTCTTGGGCAAGGGGAGAAGTCGAAAAGGAGAATCCTCTATGGTAACCTCAGCCAGGGTGGGAAGTGAACCCACACTGTTGGCATCACTCTATCAAAAACTAGCCATCCAGCCAGCTGAGCTAACCGAGTGACATATTGTGTTATGAAAGACATTACAATAATGAAGTTCCTTCAATACAAGTATTTAAACCTTTGACGTCTTGAAATTTAGAAATCTGTCTGGGTGTGGGTGAGGAAGGAAACAGGACAGCCACTTAACGGACATTAAACAAAAGCCCCACAATGATGACAGTCCCTCAGTCCGCACACGCGTACACACCTGCTTCTTTTGCCTCATGATCTCTAGTTTCTGAGCTAACTGGATCTGCCGCTGGCGCTCAGCCTCCTCAGCAGCTCGCCGTAGCTTCTCGCAATGTTCTTCACGTAAAGCATTCAGCGCCCCGCGTGCATCCCGGATCTGGGCCAGCTTGTCCTGTAGGCCTTCATAATACACTGAAATATAACAGCAACAAAAATCACTGATTAAACCAGTTACTTGGTTCATTTATTTTGCCAACCACTGATCACAGATTCTCAATAAAAGCACCTTCCAAGCCCTTGTGTCGGAGCTTGAGAATGCAGTTTTTACTCAAAGTGCTGCCTTTGGAGTCCACAGAACATAGGAGACCATTCAGGCCAGTGTGCCCAAGTCAGTTCTTTGAAAGCGCCATCGGATTCCACTCTCGGGCGACTGTCTGTGTGGAGTTTGCACATTCTCCCTGTGTCTGCGTGGGTTTCCTCCCACAGTCCAAAGGTGTTCAGGTTAGGGTGGGATGGCCATGCTAAATTACACACAGTGTTTAGGGTGGGAAATGCAGGGAAAGGGTAGGGGGTGGGTCAGGTTGAGAAATGCAGGGATAGGGTGGGTTTGGGTGGGATGTTCTTTGGAGGGTTGGTGTGGTTTCGATGGGCTGAATGGTCTGCTCCCACACTGTAGGGATTCTATTCTACTCTAACCTTTCCTCAATAACCTTCCAAGTGTTGTCCTTTCATGTCTACATCCATTTTTTAAAGAATAGAAACCCTACAGTGTGGAAGCAGGCTATTCAGCCCATCAGATCCACACCAACCCTCCAAAGAGCATCCCTCCCAGAGCCAACACTACCCCCCAACCCGGCCCTATCCCTGTAATCCTGCATTTCCCATGACTAATCCACCTAGCCTGCACATCCCTGTACACAATGGCTAATTAAGGACAGCAAATCCACCTAAACTGCACATCTTTAGACTGAGGGGAAGCTGGGAGCACCCGGAGGAAACCCACACAGACACGGGGAGAATGTGCAAACCCCACACAGTCGCCTGAGGGTGGAATCGAACCCAGGTCTCTGGCGCTGTGAGGCAGCACTGCTAACCACTGAGTCACCGTGCCGCCCTTTTCTATTGCTAGCTACTATTATACCTGTTTCAACCATCCCTTCGAGATAGCGCATTCTAAAGTTTAAAGCCAAATCTCATCTCTGCCAAATATCTTATCAAATAGCTTTAAGGTAATGGTTTAAGCTGAGTTAATAACTAACGAATCAGAAGTTTACGAATAAAGAAATGGAACCTCTAAATTGACTGCTGATTTCAGACTGCAATCTTCCTCCTTTAATCAGTACCCATATTACAAAGGACAGCAGTCAGTCTTGTTGCCAAAAATGTCCTAACCAGATCCAACACTCATTGGCATTTTGAGTCAGGTTGTGGCTTGAAGAGTTTTAAAAGCAGACAGCCAGATTGAGGAAACGATTGTAAATACTAGAACTTAAAACTGGAGATAACCATTGAGAATTTCACATCCTATGGCAGCTTGTATGTAGCTGTTTGGTACAAGAAAAGCCCCATTAGGTTTTTGCCTCTTTCTTGCTGGATACCATGGCCAGGATCCAGGGTCAGATCAGCTGCTGCTGAACTTCTGCCAACACAACATTGACAGATTACTGGATATTGGACAGGCAGGAAGCTCAGCTGTTTTGGAAAGCATTAAAGCAAACCATTTGGTCCAAAGTCTTATGGTTTATGACTCTCCTCCCACTAGACATTATCCCAGCCCATCAACAAACCTGTCTACCCCTTTCACCCACTTGTACTACCTAACTGGGATTGGTTGAGGGAGGGAGGGAGGATGGGTGGCAATAGCAGAGTGGTAATATCATTGGACTGGTAATCCAAAAATCCAGGCTCCTGTTCTGGGGACATGGGTTTGAATTCCATGATGGCATGCTGAAATCTGAATTCAATAAAAATCTGGCCTAAGGGCATCGTTAATAGCTGCAAAACCGATCTGGTTCACTAATATCCTTCAGGGAAGGAAATCTGGTCTGGTCTATGTGACTCCAGACCCACAGCAACGTGGTTGACTCTCAACTGCCCTCATTGCAATTAGGGATGGGCAATAAATGCTGGCCTAGTCAGAGATACCCGCATCTTGTGAGCAAATTAGAAAAACACCCTATTTTGAAACTGGGATCTCTCCCTGGCCTCTCGTACTCACAACGCTTCTCATCCAGCTGATTCAGCAGCTCCAGGAGCTGAGGGTGCATATTGTTGATGGACTGGAACAACGACAGCACAGCAGTGTCATTGGTGATGCTGCGGCCACGCATGTGATTACTCTTCATCCTGTTCACAAACGTCACAACAGAGTTCTGCAATGCCTTTAGAAACTGGTCGTGGTTCTCCTCAGACTCTCCATTCTGATATTGCTGCTGAACCGCAAAAGGAAAACAGACACTGGATCAGAGGACAATGTGTAGAACAAGGGGCAGGGTTTATTGCGTGCGTTTATTCTTGCCAAATAGGAAGCCCAAAGCCCTTTCCCAATTAATTACCTCCACCACTGCAACAGGAGTGGTCTGAGTTTCAACAGGCTGAGTTACAGACTCTACCACAGAGACCGGGGCAGAAGGAGTGGGGCTCTTTCTAACCTCTTCCTGCTTCTTCTCCCAGTAGTTGCGATTCAGGTATCGAGCCAACTATTTTTTTCAAATAAAAGTCACAAGTTAGGCAAAATACTTTGTTTTCCTCAACTGAACATTTACATTTGAAAAATGCTGAAAATTTGCTATGAACATGGATTATTCTTCACCTCAGGATCAAGCTCTTCAGCTGTTGGGGCAGAAGAATTCTGTAAGAAAAATATATTTTTGATGTTTTAATATTTTATGTTAAACATCAGTAAACTTGGCATGGTTTTTCTCTGTCAGCAGCACAGCAAAGGCATTCTCTCTCATAACCCAATCAGATATAAATAAGTAGGCAGCTCAACATTTCAAGAATGAATTTGATATTTGAGCTGTGGGAGCAAACATGATCAATGTAACCAGTGTGGTGTCAAATTCTCTGTGCTGTAGTTAACCTGTAACAGGTGACATTAGCAACAGTCTTCCTGATTTTGGGGCAGGCTAGAGGGGTTCCCCTCCCTCTCCTAGGCTACCTGAAAACTCCAGTTCAAAGCCAACATTCATGGCTATAAAGATAGTAGGAACTGCCGATGCTGGAGAATCTGAGATAACATGGTGTAGAGCTGGATGAACACAGCAGGCCAAGCAGCATCAGAGGAGCAGGAAAGCTGACGTTTCGGGTCGAGACCCTTCCTCA